TTATCTCATTTAATCCTCACAACAACCATGTAAAGGATGTGCTATTATTATCTCCATTTTACCCATAGAGAAACTGAGGATAAGAAAAGTTAAATTGCTCGCTTAGGGTCACAGAACTAGTAAGTACCTAAGGCTGCATTTGAACTCAGGTCTTCCTGATTCTAGATACAACACTTTATCCACTGCATCCCTAAATCACTTTGCAAATCTTAAAGCTCTATTTAAATATGAGCACTTCTGGACCTCTTCCTCCTCTTCCTTCTACTCCTCCTCCTTCCAGTTTCAAAATGTTCCCATCTCCATCATCAAGGGAAAAACAATTAAGAAATAACTCATAAAGTCTCTAATTATCTGACAAAAAGCTCCACCCAAAATAAAAACCCAAACTTTACAAATGTTTCCTGCTAGGGTGTGGAGTAAAGTCCTTACTCCACCTCAATGACATCTTCATTCCCAATTAAATCTAAGACTGACTGAAACACAAATGGATGGATTAAAGGGGTGTGTATGATATACTGCCCAAATCCAGATCAAAATCTGGCCTCCCTCACCAGGAAATATTTGGAAGATACATAGATTCAAGTTGGTCTAGAAATCAGGGGACACATGGTCTTGAAAAAAATAATGCTCAATAGAGTTTCCAGATTAACTTTGGGAGGCAGCCTGGTACAGTGGAAAGTATTCTGAATTGGAGTATTTGGACCTGAGTTCAAAGTCTTTAATTGCTGCTTACTACTTGTGGGACCTTGGGCAAGTTGCTTTTCTCTGGGCCTCAGTTTTCTCATCAGTGCAATGAGGAGATTGGACCAGAAGGACTTTAAAGGCCCTTCCAGCTTTCTGTGTGTGAGCTCATGCTTCTGTTTTTAACCCAGGAAATATTATCCTTAGCTTAGTTAGAAAATAAATGAGGTGATTAAATAAGCTATGAAATATATCAATTATTACTTTGGTATGATAAAATTAAAACCATTTACCATCAAATAACCATCAAAATTGATCATGGCAATCAATTTCAGAACTTAGTAGTTTATGACTCCTTTTCAACACTCGTCAAGAGACAGATAACATCCAATTGCCATGGCTTGTATAGATCTATAGGAAGAAAGTAGTTGTGGGAAAGGAACTGGGACTTTGTTGTAATTTATGCATTCAGAGTTGGTTCAGAATCAGAATGCAAATTTTACTTTAGCTGAGTTGTGTTTACTTCTTCCCAGTCCCATTGTTTATATAAAATTGATGAGTAAGTTATGAAATTTTATCTTTTGGGAAATGCTACATAATTTTTTTACCAGTGTTCTTTAATACTTGGAATTAATCATTGTTATGATGGCAAACCGTTTTCCTTCTATCCTTTTAACAATGAAACTTTGTTTAAAATGGGGAGGGCAAATCTGTCCTTGGAAAATGATATGTTATCCTGACTATTTTAAGTGTACTCGCCCCTTCCATTCTCTCCTACCCCCTCCACCTTCAGGAGATCTCAAATTGCATTATTTGTATAGTCTCCTCTGGGAGTGGACACTTCCTGAGGTTTCACTGCCTCTCCACAAATCATTTGTGGGAAAGTTCAGCAAGACATGGGCATGGGAAGAAAGCTGCTAAGACTCAAACAGTGAAAACAATGAGGCTGGGTCTTGTGTAATGTTAAGTTCCTACCGGTCAGCTTTTTTTTTCTTAAACTTTTATTGAATGAACAAAACTTTATTTTCTCTCCCTTCCACTTCTTCTCCCCACATTTGAGAAAAATAATCCTTATTTTATTTATATATATGTATGTATACACATATACATTTATACACATACATTCATATGTACATTTATATACATGCATATACATATATATTTTTTTCCATTTTATTCTTAGGATGCTATACAGCACAACTCTTTCTTTGAGCCAGAAAGAAAAATAGACTATGGAGACGTTGATGAAGCATTTAAAACTGTTGACCAGATCCTTGAAGGTAAAGCATTTTGCTCCTTAAACATGGGGAGGCAGTGTTGGGTAAGAGAAAGAAGACTCATAGACGATCTTAGCATCAATCTCGGCTCCGTCATTTCCCCTTGTTGTTTGTCCTTTGTTTTTGAAGATCAATGACACCATGAGTGATGTCTTGACTTGACTGTGACTTGGATTTAAGTGAGGCAGAGCTATCCAAAGTTGCCAGCTTTGTCACTAGCTTTGTGAAGACAGTATGGTGCAGTGCTAAAAGTCAGAGAACCTGGGTTCAAATCCAGGCTCTGCCACTTTAATGTGTTACCTGGAGCAAGTCACTTAAATGATCTAAGCCTAAGTTTCTTCTTCTGTAAAATGTGAAGGTTGATGAGATGACTTCAGAAGAACTTTCCAGCTTTAAATCTGTGAGCCTATGACATCGGGCAGATCACTTCTTGGAGTCTGTTTCCTCCTCTGTAAAATGAGAATAATAATGTTTGTAATGTTGACCTCATGGGGTTGTTGTGAAGAATGTGCTTTGTGAACCTTTCAGTGCTATGTCAATATGAGTTATTAGCAAGCTGGGTTGAGAGCTCCTGAAGGGGTTCTAATAGGAGGTTATCAGGTCAGGTACATCTCAGATATACAGCTTTCCCAGTTGCTTGCTGAGAATCACTATTGGTAGCATGAATATATTGTCCTACAGGTATCAGCCTACCTGAAGCAATCTAATATCCTTGTTCACCCCAAGCTCTAACATTTCTTCCAGCTCTAAAAATCTGTGATTCTCCAGTCACTTCTCCACTTTTCCACCTATCAATTCTACTTTCAGAAGGATAGAGTTGTTAAGTAAACCACCAGCAAGTCAGGAAATCTGGATTTTTTTCCCAGTACCTTCTATCATCCTGCTTTTCCAGGTCTCTAATTTACCCAGACTTTTGCTGGCAATCTAACTTGTATAAGAGGTCTTCTCTGTCCTTTCTTTCAAAGCAGAGTTTATTGCCTTGACATTGTTTACCTTCAGAAGGGGATCCAGTATGTCAGCTTAAATAGTTTACCAAATCTCCTCCACTGCATTGGTTCCTCATTCATTACTTTCATAGGCTACACTTGCATCACACCACATACAGTCCTCCATCTCCCACATCTGGGCACTGGCTATCCTCCATTTCTAGAATGCTTTCCCTTCTAACCTCTGTTTTATAGAATATGTGGCTTTCTTCAAGACTCAGCCCAAATGCCCCATCCTGCTGCAGGCCTTTCCTAGTCCCCCAGCACCTACTGCTACTACATACCCCTTGGGGGGACCTTTCATCTACTTTGTACTCTTGTATGTACCTGTTTTTTTCACACACACACACACATACACACATGTATTTACATTATATATGTATACATACACGTATATGCACATAGGTATATAGAAAAGAAGTACAGAGTAGATGAAGTAGAGAATATACACACATATAGGTACATCATATATACATATACACACATAAACAGATATATTTATATATATACATATGTGTGTATACACATAAACAGATACATTATATACATACATAAACATGTATATTATATATACACATGTAAAATTATATTTATATGTATTATATGTACATATATAAGGTACATTATATATACATATAAATAGGTACTCTATGCACATATGCACATGTGTATGTATATGTATATATATACAGGCACATCATATATACACATATAAAACAAGTCATATATATATGTATAAACAGGTACACACTATATACATACACATGCACATATAAACAGGTACATCATATATAATATACAGACATACAAAGGTATATTATATATAGGTATATTATATATACACATACAAATACACACATACACACACATATATAGATATGTACATTATAAATACACACACATAAATAGGTAGATTATCTATATATACAGATGTATAAAAACAGGTACATCATATATACATATGTACACATTATAAACAGGCACAATATATATACATATAGGCATATAAACATGTACATTGTATGTACATATATACACATATAAACAGGTACATTATATACATACATATATAAAAACAGTTACTACACACACACACACACACACACACACACACACACATACAGGTGCAGAGAAGTATAGAGTAAATAAAGTACAGATGAGGAAATTGAGGATCAGATAAGTAAAGTGACTTTTCTAAGGACACACTGGTGCCAAATGATAAAGTAAGTATTTAAACCCAGGTTCTCTGACTCTAACACTCCTTCCACTGTACTCCGCTGCCTTCCTTAAAGATGGAAGAGTTTCTGACTTTCATCAATGTTACTGTCCACACCGGATCAGAAGTGTTACAGAAAATTAACTTGCATTAGTTTTATTTATCACCCACTCTCCCATTGACGATGAGGAGCTTCCAGGGGATCTGTGAGACTTAGGAAGAAGAAATTTGACTGGGCAGGTGGGGAGGGGGGTCAGAAATAAACAGTTTGGGACAGATAAGTTTGCCTTGGAATGACCTTGGGCATGGGGGAAGGATAATGGTCACTATGGATATACTCTCTTCCCTTTTCTCTCTCCCTTCTATATTTACTATTTATATTTGCATTGGAGTTTTGTCTCTGAACTTAAGAAGTCAGCTATATTTTATAACTTAATCTTGTGCTTTCCCAATCTAGAACAACAGTTCAGTCCCATGAATGTGAACTAATATTGCCTGTGGGACTTACAGATGTTTGAATCAGAGAACATAGAGCCTGGAAGGGACATTGCAGATCATCTAGGGCTGGAGCTGCTGCACGTGGAAATGCTTGTGAAAAATGAGATTAAGGTTGGGTAGCCAGTAGTGCAGGTTTTGCCCGACCTTACTTGACCCCTGAACTTGTCACCCATACTGTTTTGTATAAACATTTGAGGGTTGTTGGTTTTTTTCTCTTATAGGTGAGATTCACATTGGAGGCCAAGAACATTTTTACATGGAAACTCAAAGCGTGCTTGTTGTTCCATATGGAGAAGACAAAGAAATGGATGTCTATGTGTCAACACAACATTCCAAGTTAGCACAGGTAATTTAGAGCCCTTGTCCAGGGGACATAGTTAATTCTCAAAATTTTCTAACAAAAAATAATACAAAAACCAAAACAACAACAACAAAAAATCCCAAACCCCACTGACTACTTAAAATACCCTGAATTTCATACTTTTTATGCCAAAAAGAAATGAATATTCCTCTGATTTTTGAAATGCAATACCCTGTAGTGTTGCTTTTTGACAGTGACCTAGAATCAGAGAACAGAGAATGTTATAGTGATATGTGCATTAAATGCGACAAAATTAGAAAGTTATATCTATTAATATACAATAAACCATTTAACGTTTTGCATCTTAAGAAAACCTTTTAATATGTAATATGTCTTCCTTTTGCCGCAGTCACTTATTATAAAAGTGATTTGAGTTACAAGTTTTTGACACATTGTAAAATTCATCATAAAACTATATTCTTATCACATTGAACATTAAGTGTACCTTTGACAAATTGTCCATTTTCCTAAGCTTAGCTTTGATTACAACCCATAGGTTTTCAATGAAGTTTAAGACAGGTGAATTCCCAGGCCTTTAAAACATGTTTATCTCCATCTCTTTAATACATTTCTCAAATTTTGTGACATGTGGCATGATACAAGATCTTATTGCAATATTCTATCTCCATTTGGGAATTTCTGTAATTCCAAGACAATTTTGCCTCTTGATATAGCAATATGTTTATCAGAATTCATAATTCTGATAAATGGAGACAAGACTTCTGGGCCTACTGGAAATTTAAAAAATTCCTAAACATTTTTATTTAAATGAATATTTTACAATTTAATAAAAATACCCAGATTTTACAGGCTAACATGGATTACTTCTGATTTGGTTTTTGTATATCCTTGAATGAAAAGGAGACTTTAATCAGTAAAAATTACCTTTGTCTAGTCTTCAGTTCTCCACTATTTGTATTTCTTGGCCTAGGAAACCATTTTTTTCTTCATGGTAAAGATTAGTTAGCAGCTAGCATTCTGTACCCTTCCTCTGCCTCCACATATATAATTGCTCTTATTGGTATGAGCTAAATTTCTTATTTAAAAGAATTCAAATTAATTCAAATTAATATTTACAGGACATAGTAGCATCTGTATTAAAGGTTCCATCTAACAAGATCATGTGTCATGTCAAAAGAGTTGGTGGAGCTTTTGGTGGAAAAACATTTAAAACTGGTATCATGGCAGCTATTACAGCATTTGCAGCAAACAAGTAAGTGGAAATTTAAGTGTTACATTTAATGAGAGCAAGAGAGTCAGTATGGTATAGTAAGAAGTGCTGTTGGAGTCATATTAGTTTTGCCTCTTTTAGCTATGATCCTAGGCAAGTCACTTAACCATTCTGAGTGTCAGTTTCCTTAATGTAAAATGTGTATTGCAATAATTCTTTCACTACCTATATGCCTTGGTTATTGGAAAACAAAGCGCTTTGTAAATACAAAAGAGCTTTATAAATGTGTTATGAAAAATAAAATAATTTTGATGAAAGAAAAACTAGGAGACATAATGAACTCCCAATTTATTCTTGTTAATGGGAGAAGGGAGGTTCAATTTGCAAAACAAAACAAAACAAAAGAAAAAAAAACCTGTAATGAGAAAAAATTGAAATAAGCTAGAAATTTTTTTCTGTCTTAAAACTAACTGAACTGTATATATTTATAAATTGTAGAAACCAACATAGTTGTAAATTGCTACAAAAAAAAAACCAAACAAACACCATAGTAGAAAATATTGTAATACCTAGAAAGCAGAAAGACAATAGATTTGATTTGGTGATAACTACCTATTGAATGATCCTTTGTTCAATGTAGGGATTCCTTTAAATAAATGGCAATTTTGTTGTATTTCTGCAATCAATCAGGCTCACAGGTCAATTGTATGTAGTCAAATATGTATACTTAAAAGGCTTTAATATTTTTGTTTTTGCTGAATAACAAGGTCCAGTGCTCTTTTCCTCTGGAAATAATAGAAACAGGATGTTTTTTCAGTTACCAAACATTTATTTTTTCTCTCTTCCACTTCCTTTGCCACCTCCCCTTTTATTAAAAAAAGCAAAGCAAAACTCTTGTAACAAATAGGTGTAGTCAAGCAAAACAAATTCCCATGTTAGCCAGGCCCCAAAATGTTCACTTCATTATGAATTTTGGTTGATCACCTCTTTGTCAGAAGATGGGTAGTATTCTTCATCATTAGTCCTCTAGAATCATGATTAATTATGATACTAGTCAAAGTTCTTAATTAAATCTTTTAAAATTGTTCATTTCTGTAATGTTGGTATTATAGTGTAAATTCTTCTCCTGGTTCTGCTCATTTCACTTTGCATCAGTTTACATAAGTCCTTCCAGGTTTCTTTGACATCACTTCTTTCTTCATTTCTTTTTTTTTCTTTTTTTTTTTTTTAGTTTTTTTTAGTTTTCAACATTTACTTCCACAAGATTTTGAGTTCTAATTTTCAACCCCCACCTCAAGATGGCATGCATTCTGAATACCCCTTCCCCTAGTCTGCCTTCCCTTCTATTTCTTCCCCCCTTCTCTTATCCCCTTCCCCTTCTATTTTCCTGTATGGCAGGATAGATTTCTGGAACCCATTTCCTGTATTTCTTATTTCCCAGTTGCATGTGAAAACATTTTTTTTGAACATGTGTTTTTAAAACTTTGGGTTCCAAATTTTCTCACTTCCTCCCTCCCACCCACCCTCATTGAAAAGGCAAGTAACTCAATATAGGCTATACATGTGCAGTTATGCAAAACACTTCCATAGCAGACATGCTGTGAAAAACTAACTCTATTTCCCTTAATCCTATCCCGTCCCCCCATTTATTCTATTCTTTATTTTGACCTTGTCCCTCTTCAGAAGTATTTGCTTCTGATTACCCCCTTTCCCAATCTGCTCTCCTCTCTATCATCCCCCTACTCTCTTGTCCCCTTCCCCTCCTATTTTTCTGTAAGGTAGGACAGATTTCCATACCCAATTGAGTGTGTATGTTATTCCCTCCTTAAGTGTCAAATCCTACGAGAATAAGATTCACTCATTCCCTCTCATGTTCCCCCATTTCCCCTCCACTGTAAGAGCCTTTTCTTTTTTTTTATGAGATAACTGATCCCGTTCTACCTCTCCCTTTCTCCTTCTCCTGGTATAATCCTCTCTCATCCCTTAATTTTATTCTCCAGATATGACCCCTTCATCTTCAACTCACCCTGTGCCCTCTATCTATCTACCTATCTATCTATCTATCTATCTATCTATCTATCTATCTATCTATCTA